GAACCTTATGGGAAAATTTGATTCGGTTCATGACCAATTCGGCTCACGACCAGAATCATGGAACAAATTAAGTTCGTGAACCAAGGTACCACTGTATTTAATTAAATAATTTATTTTATTTTAATTAATTTATTTTATTTATATTATTTGGTGTAATGGTTAAGGCACCCGGCTAAAAACTGGGCGACCAGGAGTTCTAGTCCTGCCTTAAGGCAAAAAGCCAGCTGGGTGACTTTCGGCCAGTCACTCTCTCTCAGCCCTGGAAAGAAGGCCACGGCAAATCACTTCTAAAATCTTGCCAAGAAAACTGCAGGGACTTGTCCAGGCAATCACCAGAAGTCAAGACTGACTTGAAGGCAAAAAAAAAAAAAAAGCTGCTCATTACAGCTTTAGAGACAAAGGAAGGGAGAAAAAGTAGTAAATGATATTTGTAAGTGAAGTTTGTATAGTCTAATGTAGCTACACATACGAGACAGAATTCACTTCTTGCTTAAAATGAGATGTCATTTTAATATATAATCAATGAACTGCAGTACATTAGGCAAGATAAGACATACAGCCAAGTGGAAAGTACCGCTACTTCAAGATAAACAAATGCTACTATCAAGTAACACTCATTTACTCTTAGAACCACAAGACTTAGGGAAAAACAAGCTTCAAGGCCATATACTAACTCCAATATCCCTGAAATCTGCAATGAGGATTCAGCTATTACAATGAAAAAATTATAAAAGCTTTAGCATTAAAAGAAGAAAATGGGGAAAAAAGGCAATAGGGATGTTTATCTTAATCAGAAGACTCCCAAAAGATGACAATGCAATATTTAGATTATGAATGGACTCAGGATATAACTCATGAGCTAAAAATGCCAATCAATGCACTTCTAATGATAATATTAGCTATCAGACAAAAATTCCCTTTGATGCCAATGTATACCAGTGTAGCATTGGACTTAAAGTGTTGGATTTGGATCAGGAAAACCAATATTCTAGCCCATCTTCAACCATTTTGGGCCAGTTACCATCTCTTACCTCAACCTAACTTACAGGGTAATTGTGGAGAAAATTTGGGGGAAAAAAGCAGGATATAACTCTAAATAAATAAATAAAATACATTCATAGATACTGGGAATTGTAGAACTTAAATCAGAACATCTGATTTATTTAGGCATATATTTGCCATCAAAGATTTTAAAACAGTTACATTTATGAACCTACAGTAATACTTAGATTGCATACTTACATAACAATTCCATTTTTTCCTAGATTAACATGATACTGCTGTTGAATCAAGCTCTGACCATTTATATTTCTCAGGATATTTTCATACAATAAGTTAAATCAAATGTGGGGGGGAAAAAGCTGAGTACAAGATAATGCACCATAAGTATCTATGGGGTCAAATTGCTATTACACATATAGTAATGTGTTATTTATTTGGCCACCCAACTCCATCACAAGTTATAACACAAGAAGCCAGCAAATCTTAGGCTCACCTATCTGGATCTGTATTTATTCCAATAACTGGTTTTAACTGATCCAGCACCTTACTGGCTGCCAGAAGCATAGTTCCATCACCTAGGCAAAATATATGGTTTGGTATCAGAGCATGTTTATATAATAATTTTTTAACATTCCAAAATGAAGTATTAGACAGGTACAAGTAGTCCCCAGTTTAAGAATGAGTTCCATTTCCAAGGTTTGTCCTTAAGTTGAATTTGTATGTAAGCTGGAACAGTATTATTGTATATAATACCGTATAAGTAGTATTGTATAATGAACTTGAGCCATTGTGTATTTAACTCAAATCATTGTGTATTTAACTCAAATTTTGCTACAATAGGCTCT